GCCTGCTTAGCTTTTCTATATTTTTAAATAAGTACTGGTATTTTTGTATCTCTCAAGGAATTTGCCAGTTTCATTTAAATTGCCATATTTATAGGCATAAAGTTGTTTGTATTATTCCTTTATCATCCCTTAAATGTCTGTAAGATATTTAGTGATGTCCCCCTTTTCATTCTTGATATTGGTTAATTTGTGCCTTTTTTTGTCTGTGTCAGTCTGGCTATGGGTTTATCCATTTTATTGATCTCCATGAACCAGCTATTGATTTGATTTTCACCATTTGTTTCCTCTTTTTCATTTCATTGTTCTGTCTTTAACATTTACTTCCACAAGCCCAAGTATTTGTGTAAGTATGCAAACACACTAACATTAAGTATTTATGCTGTAGGTTTCCTTGTTAGCAGTGCTTTAGCTGCATCCTACAAATTTTGATATTTTGATATGTTGTGTTTTTATTTTATTCAATTGAAAACACTTTCTAATCCTCCCCCCTTCTTTGACCGAGGGGTCATTTAGAAGTATCCTGAACAATTTTCAGGACTCTGGAGATTGCCTGGATATACTTGTTATTGATTTCTACATTTATTCCATTGTGATCAGACAATGTACTTTGAATGATTTCAATTTTTTGGAATTTGTTAAAATTGTCTTATTGCTTAGAATGTGATCTGCCTTAGAGAGTGTTTCGTGTGCACGCAAAAAGAGTGTATGTTCTACTGTTACTCGGTGATTCCTTTCTTTCAAGGGGCAAATTCCCTCTTACGGCTCCATGTTTTTGATCACTGTCCAGTGCCTTCAACATTTGAGAATTTTTTTAAAATAAATTTTATCCAGAGTTTGTCACTCTTATTGGTGAAAGGGTTAGTCTGTTACGATCTACTCTACCATTACCTAGAATCAGAACTCCCAGATTTCTTGTAACACAAGATCAAACTTTCTTGTATTTAAGCCAGTGTATGTTGGGTTTTTTTGTTCTTTCAACAACAACAAAAAATCCTAATTTATGTATACACAGAATAGTTCATAGTGTATAAAGTGAAGTGCCAAGAACTCCTTAGGGTAAGTGATAGGGAACTCCATAGCTAGAACTAGTTTTGTACTTGAATTGAGCTATATTAAATTATATTAGAAACCAGTTTTACAGGAGGAGGAAGCATCTATGTATGTGATGTTTACTTGTGGGTAAACCTATTCCTTTTTTTTTTGAGACAGAGTCTCACTATGTTGCCCTCGGTAGAGTGTCGTGGTGTCACAGCTCACAACAACCTCAAACTCTTGGGCTTAAGTGATTCTCTTGCCTCTGCCTCCCAAGTTGCTGGGACTATAGGCACCCACCACAAGCCCTGGCTCTTTTTTGTTGCCGTTGTCATTGTTGTTTATCTGGCCCAGGCTGGGTTGGAACCTGCCAGCCTCAGTGTATGTGCCTGGTGCCATAACCACTGTACTACGGGCACTGAGCCAAATAAACCTATTTCTTAAATGTTTCCCCAGTATTTACAAAAGAAGAAGGAAATAACAAAAGATTATTACCTTTACACTCAGGCGCATCAGCACTCCATTTATTGTTGTCGACACAGTAAATCTTATCTGCTCCAACCAGGGAATATTCATCTGGTCCATTTGAAGGATCACAATTATAAGTTACTGTAGCATAATAGTCAAATACTTGTACATTAACAAAGGTGTGCTTTCCATTTTTTATTTTTGGAGGTGGTTTGCACTTAATTTCTTAAAAAGGGGGAAAAGAGGAAAGAAAAGGCAAAAGGAGAGATAAAAGATTAAGACAGCATTAATAAAGTTCTATGAACTGCCTTCCATAAATTCATCAGTCTCAGATGTCTACAACATCCATTTATAAAAGGATTTTTATGATAAAATATATGATCTCAAATTCAAACCATCAACACAGTAATGAACTTTCAGGACAAAACAACTAATTTCTTTAAGTATTTAATACCTATGTTTATTTGCAAAGCCATGCTAAGTTTTCTTCTGGTCATCATCAGAGATGCTGATAACATAATGAGAAAGTCTGCTTGTGGTCAAAAGCAAAACTGAGTGTTGCTTGAGAAATGCTTTATCATTTGTAAATATATCCATTTTATAAGTTCATGGTTTACAGTAATACCAAGATATTATTGTCTTTTTCATCTTCATCCTCACAAGTATTCAGTGATTTTTTTTTCTACTACATAATGTGTGATAATGCAACGGACTAAATCCAAATGTCTTCCTTTCAGTCGGATATTGAAGAGATTCACAGAAATGTAAACCAGTGTTTAATAAGAGATATTTTACATCTGTTAACATGTACTGAGTTTATTGTTCTTACAAATAAGTCAATAATTATTTTAAAACCTCTCACCTTTAATTCCAATATGATATCAATAGACATAACCAACATAAAGAAAAGATCATTGGGATCCTTATTAAAATTAAAGCACAAACAGGTCCCAAGGCAAGAAGGTGCGAAAACTGTTGGTCTAAATTTTAAAAAGAGAATTTACTTACTTTCACATACTGGGGCTTTAGCGCTCCAAAATGCATCTTTCTCTTTAAGTTCACAGTGTAGAAGTGGTTCACCAACTAAGTAAAACCTATATGAGAAAAGAAAAGGTTACTATCTTCTTTAGCAGTTATGATGTACAAAATAATGAACACGATTTTTATATGGTCGTTTTTCTATGCTACAGTAGTTTGGGGGATAGGTTTCTTAAACAACATACTAGAGGATGAAAGGGATAAATACACAATTTAATCACATAAAGAGTTTCTGTATTTGAACACACATTGGCTAAGAACAAAGATGTCTAAATAAATCTGCCATGCCTATCAGTCTGGCCTTTTTGTTTTGCCATCTCCTGCAATCACATCACACACACATACATTTCTGTGCCTTTGTTCATGCCACTCTGCTCAGCAAGGACAATGACCATGTACAGAGATCAGGCCCTAGAACTGGACTGCCTGGATTTGAGTCCCTGCTGCATGACTTACTAGTTACTTGAGCTTGGGCAAGTCTTTTAAAGTTCCTTTTGCTCAGTTTCCTCATCAATTAGAAGGGGATGACAGTATATACATTATGGGGTTGTTTAGAGGATTAGATGAGTTAGCATCTGACACAGAGTAAGTGCTAGGTGCATTTTAGCTCTTACTAATTCTATTTAGATCAGAATATCTTTCTAAGAATACCTCAAAAATATCCCTACTCAATGAAATCTTGCCTGATGATTTAAATTCACTGGAACTGCTCCTTCCTCTAGACTCTCATTGAATAATTCCACTTATTTGGTATTTTTCATTGACTATTTTGTCTTGATAGCTTTTGGTATATTTTGTGTTTCTCAATATGGCTACAACTACTTCAAGAAGGGCCTATGTCTTAAACTTCTGCTATCTCTCAAAATGCCTAGCAAGTTCGCTCTATGTAACTTTTAACTAAATGTTCCAGTATGTGTTTGCACTAAATTAAAAAACAGTCAGTGAAACCACCTTACATAGTTATAGTGGGACAAGGCTCACTCAATTTTTTCCTATATTATAGTGTATTGCTGCAATAGCTTGAATATGATTTGTCCCCACCGAAACTCTTGTGGGAATTTAATTGCCAACGTAACAGTATCGAGACATGGTGGGCCCTTGCAGAGGTGAATAGGTTGTTAAGAGGGATAATAATGCCTTTCTCAAGGGAAGTTCTGAGTTAATTCTGGAGGGAGGGAGAGAATTCTTCTGTCCTGACAGGATTAGTTACCACAAGAGCAGTCCGTTCTGCTTTGTCTTTTTTACATGCCCTTGTTTTCCTTTTCACTTTGCAACATGTTATGATTCAACATGAAAGAAAGCCCTCACCAGATACTGCTGCCATGTCCTTGGACTCCTCAGCCTCCAGAACTGTGAGCGGAATAAATGTCTTTTCTTTAAAAATTATCCTACCCCAGGTATTCTTTTATGTCAACTGAAAACAGACTAAGAAAATTTCATTCCTTCTCCAAAAGTATATTTTTCATAAATGCCCAGTGTCCCCAATATATATCATTAAAGAAGCCCTACAGAACAAAGGCTATTATTGAGTACTCGGCTCCTCTTTGAGATGTTCACTTATTTTCAGCAGTCTCAAAAATAAGATTTTCCAACTGAGAAATTTTAACCAACACGATAGATTAATTAAAGTGCTAACCAGATGGTCAATTTGATCTGGTAACATCTTACAGAGTTATCTGGATATAAGAATATCTTTGGTTGACAATTCTACTTCCCATCTCTGTAAGCCCTACTTCAACTCCAAGAGCTGGCAGATTTAAATATGGTGCACTTGGTAGAGAAGGATGAAGTCACCATGACTGCTACATTTCTGGAACTCCTAACCTCAAGCAATCCTTTCACCTTGGCCTCCCAGGGTGCTAGGATTCCAGGCATGATCCAACCCACCCAGTCAATTACTACATTCCTAATTCTTATAATAGGCTTATTATTAGATATTACAATTATTATATAGCTTTGATTTTCTTCAATTTCTTTTTTCTATTTATTACACATCTTTTCTATTTCCATAAAACACTCCAGAGTTATTTGCTATAAAAATAAAACTTGTAAAAATACAACTTGTCACACAGAGAGCAAAATTAAATCAAGTTCATATGAATGCTCAAGAAGAGAAGCAAACAAAATAAAATTAGTAACATACTTTATTTCCTCTAAGGAACAATTTAGTTACTTACCCAGAATTACAAGTAAAATGCGCTGAAAAACCCCATCCAAAAGTTCCATTTAGGTACTTTACTTGGCCAGAAGCAGGAGCCTTTAAGGGTCGACATGATACCCCTAAAAGAAAATAATTTTGAAATATTTTAAATCCAGTTTCAAAATAGATTTGAATCAAAAATCCAAATTTGACATTGCACTTTTGAATTCACGGGAATATTATTTTCTGCATTTAACTATTAGAAGGGCAAACTTAAGAGTCACCTTTACCAAGGTGAATCAAATGCCCAGGAAAAGATTCCCTGGAGATTTCTCAAAGCCTAAAAAAAAAAAATGTTACTATCGGGCGGCGCCTGTGGCTCAAAGGAGTAGGGTGCCGGCCCCATATACCAGAGGTAGCAGGTTCAAATCCGACCCCAGTCAGAAATCTGCAAAAAAAATTACTATCATAAACCTTTTTTTCACATGATAAAACACGCACCCTAAAATGCGTGCAAGCAGAAAAAAAGAAGCTCGTATACTTACTAAAACAACAGTCATCTGTGACATGTAACCATGTATTATTCTGAACACAAACAGTACGGGTGGGACGTGAACCACACACACTAAAATAGCCACGTGCACAATTGTAAGTTACTTCTTCCCCAATGTTATATTCGGGTTTAAGTTTCTGAACCAGATCCATAGATAGAAATTGTGGTGGCTCCTCACAGGCATCTAGGGATAAAAGAATAAGAACATGAAAATGAAGTACTGATATCACTCTCATGACGCAGGGGCTATGGTCTAGCAGCAGACTGTATAGAAAAACTAGAAAGATCCTTGGCACAATTTAAAATCATTGTTTCATGCTTACAGTGGCAGCAGTCGTGGAAGAATGTGTCTTGTTTGTTTTAGTGACATCTTATTAGCTTTTGCTTGTTTAGGAATACACCGAATTTTCATTCAACAGCAAACTGAAGAGATAGCATCAATATCTATGGTCCTAAAAATATACACATACACATTTCCCCCCACATTTTTCTGAATTCATTTATAAACTAACCTGTCCTCTAAGAAATCTTCTATAGTACCTAGTCTGCTCAGATTTCTCTCCCATAGTCTGAAACAAAAACTTATGACGCCTTGCCACTTCGGGCTCTATCTCCTCTTAGAAGTCAAGTTCCTAGAGATTGAGGACCATGTCTTCTTTTTTCTACTCCATGTATACGGTACCCAGAACGTGCTCAAGAAATGCTATGAGAAGAGATGATTATTAAATAAACATAGCAAATTTCATGGAGTAAAAGAAATATGAACCAAGGTATTTCAAAATATAAGACTCATTTCATTTATTTCAAACAATAATTTATATGCTACTTCTAGGAATCTTATAAGTGAATAGATGCCATTTAAGTACCAAAATTTACTGCTTTGGATAGCCTTCCATGAATTTGGTTTGGTTTTGTTTTCTTGAACATTAAATACAATTGAATCTTCCCTCTCGGATCATCGCATCATGAATTCCCCGAGAAGCTCCCGGAGGTGGCTGTTGGGCTGTTTATGAAACATATTCCTACAGTAAAGATACTTTATGGCTGTGCTTTCGGAATTTTTTATTTCTGGTTTTTTGTAGTTTTTTCCTTTTTCTCCCTACAGTGGATGGTGTATCACTTCTACTCCAGCAGTTTGTCCTCCTTTCAATTATCTGTAGGCTTGTAAACCTAACAAATCTGTTAGGACAATTATGTAAAATAGGATGATAATAGAGGCATCCAGTAAAGGCCCAACGGGCTAAAGTCATTCAAAAGCCTCTTCTGTGACAGAGGACCTAAGGCAATAGATCTATTTTGATGTCTGAGTAGCCTTCTTGTTTTTACTCCCTGGATCTCCATCAATACTTCAGACTGAAAGACTGGTCAAGAGAACCCTAACCATCCTCATTTCATGTCCTACTCTAAATTCTAAAATTCTTCCACATGTACCTGTCCAATATTTTATTTACGGATGTCCTATGATCTACCTGATGACATTAAGTGTTCAATACTGCCACTCTGATGACACTGATATCTGACAATGTTCCTCAACTAACTGCCTAAAACAAACAAAAAGCCCCAGTAATTAAAAGCATTATTTAAAAAGAAAATTAGCATAGAGTTGAGTTTTATGGCTAACATTAAATTGACTAATTACCCTGAGTGAGACATTGTCATTTTATAACAGGAAATAAAAAAGGCTAGAAATGATATATAATTCTGTTTTAGATAAAAATGCTTAACGTCATTCTAGAATTTCCTGGAACCACTAAGACAGAAATGAAGTAACAGTGTGCCCGTGTTAAATCGGTATCCCCTGTATTATGCTTTTAATTTTAGTAAGTCTCTTGAATGTGGATACATGGAGGATTCCTAACCTTACATGTAGTGCTCTATATGGAAAAAGAAATGATCAGTTAGATGGTTTAGTCCCTTCAACTAATTTTAAGTATTATCCTCCCTAACCTACACCAAAAAACACATGTTTTCAACAGTGTTCAGAGTTTAAAATTTTTGGTTTCTCAACCTCTGTATCAAATGCTTTATACCAGGGCTGTCCAGAAAACATCTAGCCACTGTTAACATAATTTTTCATATTCCATGGCTGGGTACTTTCCAGACAGCCCTCATGTACAGTAATAATTATTTCCAATATCATATTTGTATAATAAAATGTTTTTCCCCTGCTGAGAATACTGAATTTTCTTCCTATGGAGATTTTCAAACTAAATATTTTTAGCTCCAGAAAAACAGTATCTCGACTTAATTTCTTCTAGATATTTTACAATGTAATTAATGCACATACTAAGCTGCAGTGTCACACAATAGACACCATTAGTGAATCTGATCAGCTGCATTCAGAAAATTCACCGAACGTCCAGGTCAGTTTCCGTTAAGTGAATTAGTTCTCTGCACTGGATCCACCAAACTGTTCACCTTTATCACACTCAACCCACTTGCAAAATTAACTCTCTGGAGTGCACATAACCCCTGCTTAGATTGCTATCGCCAGAGAAATTCGTGGTATCTGATCACAAGTGGAATTGCAAAGAAACTTGACCATTTTGCTCCTTCTCCAACTGTCCACACAGCCAATTTTTAAACTTCTTTGTTCCTCAAAACATAGACATCTCCATCTGTCAATTTCATTTCTCACTTCTCACTTTTAGGCCCACGAAAATCATTTCAATTACTTATAAAGTCATTCAGTGGCCTCCTCCTTGTTAAATTTATCCTAACAGTCTATTTCTCAGTAGTTTTAGTTACCCTCTCAATAAAGCTCTAGACTATCACCTTCTGCTTATTCTCTCCTTCCTGGAGAGCTCTCTCCCCTTGGCTTCCAGGACAGCACACCATCCTGGCTTCTAGAGCATCCTTTTGACTACTCCTCCTTCTCTACCAGATGGAATAAGGTAATGTCCCTCAAGGGTCTGTTGAAAGACTTTTTGTTATTCCATTCTGCAGGTCCCTCTGGGTAAGGCTGTACACTCCCAAGACCTTGTTATCACTGATTATCAGCTGTCTCCCAGCTGGATCCCTCTCTCTCTATCCTAGATCTCTAGCTGGGGCACCAAGTCTGTATGTTCAATTGCCTCCCTACACAACTCCATTTGGAATGAGTCACTGCTATCTCCAATAACACAGTGAAGCCCAAGTGTTAGTGAAGAGAAATAGGAAAATGAAGTGGTTAAACTAGAGAGTGGTTTAAAATTAAAAGACTATGTAATCCAACCCCCACCTTGCTTAAGCACCCTCTTTTCCTTGATGTCTTGATGCCACCAACCCAAGCCATAAAGATGTGTATCTTAAGGAACTGAGCAAACAATACTAGAAAGAAACAGCACAGGGAGAAAAAAAATAGTGTTCCATCCTTTGAGTAAAGATTATTTTGATTTGTTATCAATTAAGTTTTGGATTAAGTTATAATTTGCTAGATGTCTTTTCTTTGTAACTTTCTATAAAAACTGTTATGTTTGTAACCAAGCCAGGATAATCTTAGAGAGGCTACTCTCACTGTTTTCCAAAATTGCTTGCCTTCTGATAATAAAGCCTGGTGGACCTATCCCCCCCCATCTCATCTCGATATAGTGGCTGGACAGTGACAGGTAGCTGGACTCCTTTGTACGGTAATGCAAGCGTGATCACTTTAGGTTGTCCTGCCCACATATACCCAGCAAACAAGTTATTCTGCCACAAATGAAATGGCTGTTCAATCTTTTGATTCTTCCCTTTACTACTTCTCTTTTTAAAATTTATATATGTGTTTATTTTTAGCAATAGGGACTTGCTGCATTGCCCAGGTGGGGGCAATTGTACAGTGGCACAATTACAGTTCACTTCTGGGCTTAAGTAATAATACCTGGATTTAAGTAATCCTGTCTCAGCCTCATACATAGCTGAGACTAAGGCACATACCACCAGTCGCAGCTAATTTCTTATTTTTATTTTCATTTTTTTGTAGCCCACCGGGTCTTGCTAAATGTTGCCCACATTGGTCTCAAACTTGCAGGGTCAAGTGAATCTCCTGCCTTGGCCTCCCCAGGTGTGGGGTTACAGACCTGAGCCACCATGCCCTGCCGTATCCTTTACTTCTATCTCAAGTAAAGGAAAGGTTTCTTGTATCCAGATTGCTACAAGAGAAACTGAATAGGTCTTCTTACCTATCTTATCATCATTCATTCATTTTTTTCACATTGCTACCAGAGTAATATGAATGTGATACAATAATCAAGGCTTTTTCAAAACCTTTCAATGGCTCCCCCAGAATAATGTCCAAGTCTCCTTAATGGCTAAGAGACTTTTAAAACCCATCACCGTCAGGACTCTGCACACTATTCTCAAGACATGCTCAGTTTTTTGGAAAGCCCAGTGGGTTTTGCTTTTGCACTGTACGCCTCCTCCCATTGCTTCATTTTGGTTTTGACCAGAGACTGAGCTGTTCCTCCCACCCACGCATCTTGCCAGTTTCATCTTAGAGGCCACTTCTTTCTTGACATCGCCAACACAAAAACTTGGGTTACTGCCCTCATGATGACCTAATTCACTTCTTTCACAGCACTTTTCATATTATGATTTGGTTTTTGTTCAGATCCCCTAGGAGATTGTCATCTTCTTGAAGACCAACCAGGTCTCCTTCATCTCTGCATTTCTAGTACCTAGTGCCAGAGCGTAATGAGCTAGATGAGTACTGTTACCAGATCAAAACTCACATTCTTTACTGTTTAGCCAACTTGCTTCAGCAATATCTGCAAATTGAGATTTTTTTCTTTGCTGTTTTTATGCCTGTCTTTAAAATGTCTTCATTAGTTTGGTTATAGACATTTCCCTTCATCAGGGTTTTCATTTCTTTCATGACAAAATATTTATACTTTATTAGTTTATTATGAGTCCATTCTCCATTACTGGTATTATTAGAAATGACATTTTTTTTCTTTTTCTAAAATGTTTAGTTTTTAAATTTTTGTTGATACATAATAGCTATACATATTTTTGCAGTACATGTGATAATTTGATACTTTCATACAATCAAATCAGGACAACTGGGATGTCTGTCACCTTAAATCTTTATCTTTTCTTTACCATAGGAACACATGAATTATTATTCTCTTCTAGTGATTTTGAAATGTGCCATCAATTAATGTTAACAATTTACACCCTACTGATCTATCAAATACCAGGTCTTATGAAACAGGTTTTTAATATTATCAAAGGTAAACTCCAGATAACATGGGTTATATTTTTTTCTGAAGTATGGTAATGACAGATTTCAGCTTGTTTCTTATAATAGTGATGATAATAACTTTAGAAATGGCAAGCATTAAGCACTACTTTTGCCATGCATTATTTTATTTATTTGTTTTTATTTTATTAAGTATTTTTAAAGTAACTTAGTCTTCTTAATCATCCAATGAGATAGAAACTTTTAGTTTTAAGCCTATCCTAAACATTATTCTTAATGTTTTTCTCCTTATCACCATTGCTACTTACCTCTCTCATTCCTCTTCAAAATGAACTTTTTGGTGATCAGTAAGATGTGAGACTGGAGTCCAGGGAGCACTGGAGAGTCTACATAAACAGGGAAGCAGGTACTTCCTGACTCTTACCTGCCCCTATCCTAGCTTTTTGGGTACCACAGAAGAGCCAGCCTAAGCAGAGATCTTTAAAGAATCTTCTTCCTGGAAGCAGGAAGAATCTTTTCTTAGGCTCTAAGGCCCAGCCAGATATTATATTGAATTTTCTAGTGCTAAGTAGATGTTGATACTGAGGCAAAAAATTGGGCAGTTGTAACACAAGGGTGACAAGACAGATGGAGATTTCTCCATTCTGACGGGGAGAGATAGAGAACAGAAAAGATAGCTTTAGAAAGGTGATTGCAAGTTGAGGGGAATTGAGCTGGAATGGGCGTGTGTGTCTACGCCCCAAAGCAGCAGAGGTGGGCTTGGGTGATAAGCAGAAAAAGGCTTCCCTTGTCTCCAGTCGTTTGTTAAATGCTGTCATAGTATCCTTTCCTCTATCTAGAGCTCATGTCTTGAAGAATATATAATATATTCATTAGTATTCTATTTTGAAGTTTTTTCAAGAATAATGTTTAGAATTAATGTCCAGCACTCTGGCTCACACCTGTAATCCTACCACTCTGGGAGGCCAAGGCAGGTGGATTGCTTGAGCTCAGGAGTTTGAGAACGGCCTGAGCAAGAGCAAGACCCCATCTCTACTAAAAATAGAAAAACTAGCAGAGCATGGGGTGCATGTCTGAAGTCCTAACTACTTGGGGGGGCTGAGGCTAAAGGATGGCTAAAGCCCAAGAGTTTGAGGTTTCTGTGAGCAACTAGCCCGGCATGGTGGTGCACACCTGTAATCCCACCCTACTCAGGAGCCTGAGGAAAGAGAATCACTTTGAGCCCAAGAGTTTGAGGTTGCCATGAGCTATGATGATATCACAACACCCTACCCAGGGCAACAGAGTGAGAATTAATGTCACAATACATTTTAGCAAATATTTATTAATTGCTATATTCCTGGCCCTGGAGACATAACAATGAACAAAACAAACTCCTCGTTTATACCCCTACATGTATGTGTACGTAAATGGTAAAATAAAGATAGATAGGAATGGTTCATTATTACCAATCAGTGCATCATCAAGATGAGCATAGAATGTGGATATACAAGATAAATACTTGGTGAAAGAATGCTGCCAAGGAAAGAAATGCAGCATACAAACATAATGTAATAGGATCCTAAATATAATTTGGGTGTAGAAACACGAAGCACACATAAAGACAGAAGGAAATATTATAAGTGGCCATATGGTTGTCCTTTGTGTTTTTTATAAACATGTACTTTATAGCATGTATTTTTTTTTAAGTATTTATTCCATTCAATGAAACACAAACAACCTTAGTGGGGTGGGAGTTCAGCTTTAGTGTGTGAGCTGTAGGGGAAAACCAGATTAATATTATTTATCGTTTTCTCTTTGGATACTAATTTCTCACTAGGTTTGCTTACCAATATCTTTTAGGCTGCTTTACATCTCTTCTAAAATATGACCCAAGCTGATTAAAAGAAGGAAAACAACGCCAAAAAGTCATTAGTTAAAAAAATCAGATACTGTCTATATTGGTTGGGAACAGGAAGAGAAAGATAATAGCAGCCACAAAAAAACAAAGGTAATAGCAGCTACTTGAAAACCAAGAGCAACACGCTGTCTCCCGAGGCAACAAGAGTGTTCACTGCAGGTACAAAAAGCACGGTGTGCCCTTCCCATCCCTCCAACCCCAAGCACCGGCATAAAGCACACAGTGAGCTGGCTCCGCAGGGTAGGCCCCTCGCGCACAGCACACTCGGAGCAATACCCGACCAGGCCGGTGCTCGCCCAGCCCAAACCATCAGAGCCAAGCAGACGTACTGTTAGACTCTAAACAAGTATACCCACCCACTAACGCTGCAAGCACTCTGCCCAGGCAACTCTAACACAAGGCAACTCTAAACACCTGCACAGCACGGGCCCTAGTAACCTATCCAGCGCACCTGGCTACACTCCGGCACAAACCCTCACCTGGGTCACCGGTCCGCGCTCCCCATCTGATTTTGGCTCAATCCCGAAAATGCTGCAAGCTTTTACCAAGGACTCAGCTAAGTCCTGAGTAAACACTGGCCTCGCCCACTACCTTGGAACTGCTCAATGCAGACCACCAAGCAAGTGGACACTGGAACTGCTCAATGCAGACCACCAAGCAAGTGACCACCTGGGACACTGCACGGTTCCGACATCCCCCCGCCACACACATACACATACACACACACACACGCACACGTTCGCGCTCACCGCGGAGAACCCTGGTCACGCCCTTTACGCACAACCTGGCTCACCCCAGCCCCGCACCTCCGTCCCGCCCAGCGGAGCAAAGCTCCAGCCTCGCGGTGAGCGCACACACCCTCTCCAGGGTCCTACCAGAGAACGTGGGAAGAACCACCAGCAGTATTCCTAGGAAGTTCAGAGAACGAAAGGGACGCGCGGAGCGGCGGGGAGGCGCCATGCGCCGCACGGAGGACACCGTCGTTTTTCTGGAGATGAGAAGAGAAACTGAGAGCCAGCTGAGCAAGGAGTCCTTTTCTGAGTCCAGTTATCAGACGCAACAATCCCCACACAAAGTGTCAAGGGCCGTAGCCGTGACCCAGTGGGCGTGGCCCCGCCCGGGCCTAGGGCGGAAGTGAGTTGAGGGCGGAGCAGCCGGGGCCAATCTGCGGGCTGCAAGGCGGGGCCTCCCCTCCTAGGGCGTGCCCGTGAGGGCTGGGACATAAGGGGCGTGGCCCTGCTTGGAGTCTGAGCTCTGGGTTCTGCCGGCGCTGTCAGCTTCTCCCCGGGGACTGGACTGTCATTTGCTAGGTCCCCAGACTACGGATCCCGAAGCCCGCGTGACCTGCGGGAAAGAGCTGGCTCCCCGCCGTGTTGGAAACTCAGGAAGGGTGGAGAAGAAACTGAGCTGGCTGGTCGTCATTTCCGGAAACTGCGGATTGAAGAATAGATGACATCGACCTAAAAATAGAGACCCAGAGCCAGAACAGCGAGTCACAGTGGGCCAGCACGTCTCGGGTTTCCAGGCCGTCCGGACTACTTGGACCCTTACTCGAGATTGGCATTAGTCAAGCATTATTAGGGACGATATCTGAGTTTTCCTTGCTCGAATGTCTGCTATTGAATGGTGTCAGGACCCCCTAGATTTCAAAATCTCAGAGATTTGGCCACTGCACTCTCAACCCCTAAAGTAATTTGCTCTTCCCTCTACTGCTGAAAGAACCCAAAGGAATGTAAATTATTAAGCAACAGCGGGCTAGTAGTATATTGGGACTCTATGGGGGCCTTGCTCTTGAGCAACTAAATGTTTTGTTGAAGACAAAATATGCACGTATGAAAACTGTAAGGACACACACACCCCAAAAGAAAAACATAAGGACCAGAGGTGTGCTAAGCGCCAAATTCCAGGAAACAATAAAAATACCACAGGATCTGGAGTGGGTGGGAATGGGTTAGTTGAAGTGGATGGGGGTAGGGGGGAACTTTTCAGCTGAAATAATCTCTGGAACAATGCTGGAAAATCACAATGAGCAAGATTGATCTAGTTGTGAGTAATCCTCTATAATTTGTAAAAAAAAAAAAAGGAGGGGGACGCTACTGGCATTAAAAGAGCAAACACAAAGAGTTGAAATTTTCTTCCTCTCAGAATGATAAAGTATGGGGGATCAGCCCTCTTTTAGTTTTTAACACAACTTTTCAGTATAAGTCTTAAAGTGGACACGACTTTTAGACCACCAATTCCACTTAGAGTTTATCGTGGAAAAATCATCAGAGCTTGAGTAAAGACTTAACAATATTGGGAAAAATATAAACCCTAAGTGTCAAATGAAAGTATTAAGAAATCTGAGGTAGGTACCTTTATATAATGGAACTCTATACATCAAGCATTGAAAAAGATTTTCAACACGATAAACTATTCATGTATTTGTAAATGGAAAAAGAAGACTCCAAATCAGTATGTGCTTTTAAGCATTCTTTTTATTAAGTCAAAAGTATGATATTGATGATACAGAGTACACATAAAAAGTGACTAGTTGGAAATACAATGAAATCAACAATAATTGACAAGATTACAGATATTTCATTTTCTCTGCAGTTTTTAGTTTTGTATATTAACCCTATGTTACATTTAGAATAAGGCAAAGAAAAACAGTTTTAAAATCCAGCATGTACGTGTATCAAGGGCTGTTTTGCTAATAGAATGATGGAGGTAGAAACTTGTACGTATATAGTATATTACACAAGGTTTAGGTGTGAGAGGATGGTGAGGAAATGGAGGGTCACAGTATAAACCTCAAATGGGTCTTCTGGAATTACAGAATTTATGTATCTTCAATACAGCTCTACACCTGAGATGTTATGGAAGACTCACTGGGTTCATCAAACCATGGAATTTCCTCTTCCTGTCAGACCAATACAAATTTTTAAAGTCTTGGCAGAGAATACAAGACATTAAGAAAGAAGGTGGCATATCAAATAAATAGCTTAGTTTCTTAGATGATCAAGTCCAGATATTCCATGATGGCAATTATGGTATAATTATGAAGGTATAATTAAGGAGACAGTAAATAGGAAACTCAGGGAATTGTTATTTCTGTTAATGCTTACACTTGTGAAAGCGTGATATGACAGACATATATCACTGAGACACATATATTCTGTGGCTCAATGTTGATGCTTCTTTGTGAAAACCATCCATTTATATTGTTCTCTGCAACAATAAATATGAAAACTTCCCCCAACAATGTCAAGGCTTAGAAGAAAAATTTCTCTTGTGAAATAATGTAAAATGGGGAAACATACGTCTAGTGTTTGGTTTCTTGATTCAGGTGCTAGATTAGATTCAAAGATTGGTATGTTATTGGACCTATCTATCTATTAGAAATTTCTATCACTGGGGTTTATCAAGCTATTCTTAATATACTGGAAGGGTTTCACATTGAATTTCTAAAACTTATTTTAAGTTGACCCAACTGAGACTCCATTTGAAAAATTCTGATCTTGTTCCCTATTTTTCTAGACAAGTTCCATGACGCAGTGATAGAATTGCTTTACAGTATTTCTAGTGCCAAAATCGGCAGTTGATACACAATGAATACCTGGTAAATACTGAATGAAATAAATTGTTCTTGCTGTCATGTGCATTTAACATGTCTTTGCCAGTTTCTCCCCAGCGTGAATTTACTGAATGCTGTTAAAGTTCTGAGAGTTTTTGATTTTAATAATTTTAAGCACTAGGAAACAAAGCAGGATTTGTCTCTAAAAGGAAGGAGCTACATCTGTCTGCCTAGAAAACTTTCCTAAGTTGAACACTGCAAGCTTCTTTGCGAAGTGCAGCTATTGCCTATCCCTTATCTTTGAGATCATTTCAGTGACTCAGTTCCAAGGGAGAATGTTGACAGTGAACTTCCTGAGGCCCTGATAGGTGTAGAACTCAAGGAGTCAAGGCTCTGGATGAAGTAGGAGATTAATTTGCGGTTCCTCCAACTCCCGCTACAGATTTTATCAAACTGCCAAAGAGAAGAAAAGGAGCTCCTTAAGGCAACTTACACATAGTTCCAAACCTGGTCAGTAAACACATGTTGCCTTTAAAGCTTTATGAAGGGTAGTGGGGGTGAAGGTTGATGTGTAGGGATGTCATTTAAATCATGGCCAACCTTTTAAAAATTTAATGTTAGATGATTCTTTGGCTCCTAAATTGGCACACTGTATTTACATTATGCTTTTCAGAAGCAGGTGTAGCAGCATGAATGGGGCTCTATTTGCACCTAGTAAGCAGCTGCCAGGCAACTGACTTTCCTGCTTAGCTGTGCCTGATTCTCTTTTCCTGTTACAATCAAGAGCATTAATGTGGCATGCTGCACCCAACACAGGGATTCTGTAAACAATCAAGAATAGCATTTCTCAAAAAGAGTGGGTATTCATTGTTTCCTCTTGTTTTTTTTTTTTTTTTTTTTTTTTTTTTTAGGGCTTTACAAAGGTAAATATGTAACGAACTATATTCTATAATTATTGCAGAGATAAAGTCCTTTATTCATTTGTCATTATAACGGTGGAGACAGAACATTTCATTTAAAGGTCATAGACTTTAACTTACACCTCACATTTAAAAAAGGAAAACAAAACAATGCTAGCATATTAGCACTAGAAATAGCTTTGAAGAGCAA